GCATACTGGATTGAAGCAATGGATCGGAAAGATAACTCATTAAGCGTTTTGAAGAAAAATCTTAATTTTATTCGAAGTCTACGCTGCCATAAGGAGTTTAATCCAGGTGTAATGCATCTGAATTTTTAGTTTAACGCACATTAGTTGATAAGAGTACGTGGTGTGAATTGCTGCTGGTCCGATTCCGATATAATTTTATTCTTTCTGGGAACATTACTCGCGATAAAAGTTTAGTATCCTAGGATTGGTTAGACAAAAATGTACACATTAAAATATAACCAAGAAGTCACCGAAACTTAGTAATCTGTGTTGAAACGTGTTATGAGAAGGACAAGTCCACAAGTTCACTAGAAAAGTTGAAATCGGGAAAATGTTAACCAAAAAGAATCCATCCGAATTTCTCACTGTAAACATCCGACCTACATTTTGCGCACTACACGGTGGCTCCATACTGACACGGATTTGTATTTGGTTCAATTCATAAGGAGGAAATGATTACACCACCTTAGGATCATTTCCATACAGAAAAGAGTTTCTTTCTGGATTATAAAGAACAAAGGATTCAAAACACTACTTTGTAGTACAACATTTGTGATCGAGACAGCATCCAATAAGGAGAAGTTGGTATTAACTATTTGGTGTTAGTGACTGAGAAAAGAACAAAGTCAAAAAAAGTGGATCTGTGATCCATATGTTTGTTTATTTCATTGTCTTTCCTAAAAACAAGAAAACTCTTTTTCAATGTACAGTTTTCATTTTTCATACTTGCATGCTATTAGGATAATGAAAGTATTATTGTGTACAAGTCATTTAACCTATCTATTCAACTTAGATACCGATCAATATTAATAGTGTCTCCTTGTTTATATTAGTGTCCTAAACTCATGTAAATCAATAGTTTAATTCTTTCTTTAGTTTCTATACATAAATGAAGCTTTTTATGACACATGTTATGTAGCCTCTACATTTTATACCCTCACTGTTGAAATTTCACTGTTTTTATTATAAAGGGGTGATTTTTTCGATCAGGTTAATAGATTCTTTGTATTTTACTGTTAAACGTTACGTAAATTAATGATAATCAGTGATCATTTTTAACAATCATACAAGAGCTTATTAAAAATTGGTTCCAATAGGATGAGAGAAATATGATTAAGAGTTTGTCTTTTGGACATTTTGACTAATCATTTAAACAATATGATAATGTTAAGGTTTAATAGTTGAATTAATCAGTCAATTGAAGCTAGACCATCATAGAAAATCTGGAAGCATTGGACGGTAGAGTTCAACCGGATCTGTTGTGTTATAGTAATTCACTGATGACAATGATGGACAGTGTTGCAACTTTGTGGATTGGTTTAAGTTAGACATCAATACCGTTGGATGCCGGCCAACTCAGTGGTCTGGAAGTTAAGCGTTCGCGTGCAAGACTCGCGAGTCGGGATTGTGGATGCTCAATTCCACGGAGGAGTCCCACAATAGGACGAAACAGCCATCCAGTGTTTCCAGGTTTTCCATGATGGTCTAGCTTCAATTGACTCATGAGTTTAACTATTAAGTTATAAAATCATACAATCGCATTATAGTCACAGCTAAATTTGGATTTACTATGAGGATCAAAAGCTTTTATGAAATCCTCTCTTACACTATTTAGGTTGTTAGACAAGTTTTTATTTTATTCGTTGTCTTGACAATTTGTCGTAATTTTTGGTATTAGCTGTTGTAATTCTCATATTTGTACATGAATTCATGTTATAAAATCAATTGAAAACAGTCATTTTTGTTTAAGCTTCTCAACTATGAATAAACATCAGTGAAGAAAACTTTACAATATCAGCTACCTTAAAAACCATTTTCAACAAGACTATAATTGATAGACGACCTTTGAGAGACGCCAGAATGACCTTAAGAGTGTCCACTTAATAACCAGGACTAAATGAGGGTTATAAGACAATTAGAATTTTCATTTATAGTTGATGGTTAGGGTTAAAAACTAGATTTAGGCTTTTCATCACGAACTGACTTCAGCTAAAATGTCAAAACTCTATTTAGCCAATTGTATGAATGAATTTCGCGCTAAAATCCGAGACCTGTTATCTTATACGTGATTGATTCGTCTATAAATTATAGTTTCTCCATTGTTGTTAGGACATCATTTATTATAAGAGTTGAACATACGTATTTCCTTCTATTTATGAATGGTTGTATTCTATCTATATAATTTTGATGAAACTAAACTAACCAATATTTAGTCAATACACTATTTCGTCCTAGTATGGGACTCCTTAGCAGTGTGCATCCGCGAACCCGCTCTCCGCGGGATTCGAACCCAGGACCTACTGGCTTCGCGCGCGAGCACTTAACCATTAGACCACTGAGGAGGACCTCTTGGAGTTCTAGTGAGAAGCTGTCACCAGTGGAGTTCAACCAGGTCTGTTGTGAGATATCAGCTCACTGAAGACAATGGTGTTCGGTGGTGCAACTTCGTGGATTGGTTGAAGTTAGACATTAATACCGTTGGATGCCGGCTCAGTGGTCTAATATATTATTTGTAACAAACTGTTATCTCCTATAGAATCGTTTAAATCTTTCTTCTTCATAGAGAACTTCGCATAAGTTTCCATATAAGATCCAACATGAGATAGATTGTTACCATATATCGTTATGATGGAGATCAATAAACAATTTAGCGATCTATATAATGAATTTCCCTACTTAATTGGTTTTCTGTAACAGTACACAGTATTAAAGCAAAATGTTTCATAGAATTATGACTTGGTATTTACGAAAAAAAACCCAATGAACTGATGATTTATGTAAACGATATAACTTGCTACTAGTGTAACAAATTCATTCTAAATCATCTCCATGTATGAATTACTTTCGCTGTAAATTTTCTAGACTCTGAAATAATCTACCACAATCTATCTGTACGATAAAATCACTCTCATCCTTTGTTCGCTGCATGGATGCGTACTGCTTCTCTGAAAATGCATGAAATGTTCTACCACCTGTAAGTATATTTTATTCCACAAGTGAGATTAATGAATTCGCTATGTAAAACCACCTACCTGCTCTCACTTTATGTTAACACTATCCCTAGCAATCTTAACTAAATTGTATAATATCTAACATTAACAGTATATGACTATGTCACATGACACATGCATTGTGTCAGACCTGATGAACATTATTTTGATAGTTAATGCTTTGTTGTTCTTGATATTGTTTGGCTTGTATCTTCCCATTGAGGTTTAAGACTGCAATTGATCAGTTTGTTATTGGAATATGTGCATACTGTGCATATGCCTCGATATTACCCTAATACACAAGCTTTTTGTAAGCAATGATGGATAGTGTCTAGCAGTGGAATCCAGGATGCGTGTTTCGTCCTGTTTGGGACTCGTTAGCTGGATGAACCTGCATCTCAGAGTTGATGTTTACTCTGGGACTCGGACCTAGTAGGCGTTCACGCGCAAGACTGATATGTCTTTGGTTCAAATCCCGAGAGAGGGATCGTGGATGCGCATTGCTAAGGAGTTCCATACTAGGAGGAAACAGCTGTCCACTGCTTCCAGGAAGAATGTATTTTTAAAAATCTCAGCGAATGGGTTTCAAGTAAATCCAACGTTTTGCCTGGCAATTTGGTCCAACCTTTTCCAAGAAAATATCGAATCAAAATTATCGAATGTAAATAAGTGCATGGTTCTCTGGTTCATTGTAACCTGAATAGGTCATCTAATCAGTGTTAACAAAGTTTAAATAAAGTGTTCACTTTAGCGTGTGAAATGGAAAATGTTGAGATAACAGGTTGTGTATATACATGAGAAGAAATTTCATTAAGAAAAAATTCGGTGGTTATACTGTAGTGACCTACTTTTATCAAGAGAACGCGATTGGTTTAATGGAAACAATCATTATTATAATCAATTGTACCAGTGATTGTTTTACTGTGCTCGTTTGTTTAACTGTGCTAAAGACAGCCATATTCCTAGTCCATTACTCTCCATTACTTTTCCGCGGATTGTGACCTCGTACTCTTGCCCGCTAAGTCCACTTGTACTCCTTTTGGCAAGATCTCGGTATTCGTTCGATACCACGAGATCGCCAACGAAATAAACTTGGTAACGCCCCACCTTCGCCTTCTGATTTGTTTGGTACGCGTTTCCCTGTAGTAGTGTTCATAGTCAACCGTGACTCGACACCACGCTATAGTACTACTTACTTATACACACAAACTGTTATCTTAACACATCGCTTCATACCACATATCTCTTACACACTAAAGCAAACACCTAATTTAAACATTGTTAACACTGATTGGATGATCTATTCAGGATACAACGAACCAGAGTACCATGTACCCTTATTTATATTCGATAATTTTGATATTTGATTCTATATCTCCTTGAAATAGCCTGAACTCAAATGCCAAAATGAAACGTTGGATTTACTTGAAATTCATTCGCTGAGATTTTCCTCTTTAATGTCTCACATTCAATTGGAGCCCATATACTATGAAACAATTTCGATCAAATTTAAACAAAAGTTCTTATTTATTATGATTATTTTGAATGATTCTTTAAAATTTATATGAAATGAATAGGATAAATGATGGTCTAGGAACTAGTTTCCAATCAACCCATCTATCGGTAATATTGTCAACTTTATTCATCAATAAATTGTTCTTAAAAACAAAATAGTAAAAATGTATTTACAATTATGAATATAAACAATAAATAGATTGTTATATTAAAACGATTAGACTGATGTATATATCTATCTATCTAGATAGATGTGCCTAGTCTTACAGTGTAGTTGACTGATTAACTAACTAACTAACTAACTAACTAATTGAATGATATTAGTTTAGGTGTTTATATGTACTTTTATGTCATTTAAATATTCCCCTTAGATATTGAATAATATGAATCACGTTTAATGATCATAACCCATAACGAATATAAATAGTCCATAGAAACTAAATATTGAATTTGACAATGAACCATCTAAGATTATTATTCTATATAAGTTGTTCATTATATTTTAATTGTTTCATACAATCTACAGTGACTTATACAATTCAACAATCATCTATGAATCGTATTGATGTAAAAGTGAAAGAAATTGACGAACAAAACAATCTATGGAAGAATCAAGTTCAGCATGATAATGAATCACAATCATTGATGATAAGTCCAGTAAGATTTGGTGTTTGGAAAAAATCCAAACGTAATGGTAAACATAAACGTAACAAACATCGTCGAAAACTTTACCGTCATAAGAAAATTTTACGTTATCTATAAAATTATGTGTACTAGATGAAATTTATTTTGAACTTAAATATTATTTACTACTTAAATAAAGTTTCATTTTTTTACATTGAATAATCACGATACTACTTGTAAGTTTGAATATATATATATGGTAAATGAGAATATCACATGTATGTTTGATCTACTATTCCCTATGTTGAACTATTATTGATAAAAAGTTTGGTTATTTTACTTTATTATACTAACTTACTATCCGTACATCTATCCTCCTCCTCCTCCTCCTCCTCCTCCTCCTCCTACTACTACTACTACTACTACTACTACTACTACTACTACTATTACTACTACTACTCTACTACTACTACTACTACTATCAATTTATGTTTCTACATATTATGTTCAGTGACGTAATCTATTATAGTTGAGATGATTGACTCAAATTGCCTTGATTGATTTAACATTATTATATAAATATTTAAACAATCATTTCATTTGAAACTTCAACTTAGTAACTATCATTTTCTGTTACTTAAATGTTTCACTTTTAATTATACGATCATTATAAGCTCAGTTTATTAAATTAAGATTGATGGGGGTTATCTTTGTGAGAGTGATTTTTTTAAATAAACATTCATAATTTATTGAATATTTTTGAATCTATAAGATATTGAAAATTGATTGTTTTTAGTGGTCTAGAGGGTAAGCGTTCACGCTTTGGTTCAAATCCCGGGAGAGAGATCATGGATGTGCACTGCTGAGGAGTTCCATACTAGGAAGAAACGGCTGTCCACTGCTCCCAGGTTTTCTATGGTGGTCTAGCTTTCATTGTCTTATGAATTCAACTATAAAACGTTTAAAAGTAAACATTTGGATGCTAATATTGTACTGTAGATTCTTTTTAAATATGACATTAGTCAAATCAAATGATCTCATTTACGATAAAATGAGAAGTGGCTGAAAATTTGAATCTATATACTTAATATGTATTAGAGTAGCTGATCACCAAGCAGTAACCACTGTGATTTTCTCTAGTTTTAAGTATCAGTGTGATCAAATTATTCAAGTTTACCGATTACGAAGAATCTTTTAGCACTTAACAAAGCATTCTGCCATATTCAGGTCTTATAGACTAGCCAGTGGATAGAGAGTCAATCAATAGACTTCAAATAGCCAAGATATAGTAGATTACAAAGTAAATAAATCATTTATGCTTCTCAGTCTTACAGAAGGTGACTTACGACCTCAATAGGTCAACAAGAAGTATCACATTCTTCTTCCTTCAAATAAACAAAAACTGGACTACGTTAAAACAAACTTTAGCGTCAATTTGTTCTTATTATACTAGTTTTTAGTGAATTTCTTAGTTTACAGAAATCCAGGTTGATATTTTTATACAAAAATTCCCTTGAATCTGAAGCAAACAAATTTAAGATTATGAAGTGATACTTGACACTTTTAATCAAACTTTCTAAAGTTTCCCTTACAGTATAACAATATCAGAATTAGAATTTCGACTCAAAAGACTACAAGATTTTGTGTCCAAATCCTTCGAGACAAATTGTAGACATGTACTGGTGAGAAGTTCCATCATGAAATGAAACACCCGTCCAGTACTTCCAAGTTGTCGATGGTACTCTAACTTCAATCGATTCATGATCTCAATCAAAATACAAAATCTTTGTAAAATTTCCAGATTTATTTATATCTCCATGAATAAAAGGTTAAAGTGATACTTCTTTTTCATGATAATGATCTTGTAGTACAAAGTAAAAACAAAAACATCTCCTGTTGAACATGCAATTTTTTTGTTTCTTATCTCAGTTAGACGACGATTTATTCCGTTGAAATGAGTCAGACCTACAGTAATCTTGTATATTCTTTACTTTAATCAAGTTTCAAAAAAGGATTTCCGTGATTCTTTTTTTCTTCCTTAATCTTAAGATCATTCCTTTTTCATAAAAATTTTAAGTAGACAGTTTCAATCTAATCAACGAACAAACTAAAAATCTTATTCTGTGACTTCATCAGGTGTTAGAGAGAAATATTTATGGCTCACATTTAAGTGTTACCTACTTAGTTATTAGAATATTCCTAAATTTGGACGAATTATGATGGATGATTTAGTGGTATAGAGAATGACTAGAAATTAACAAATACGATTTGAATCGAGGCTAATAGTTTGTAAGGTTTCAATTTAAGGTTGTCATTAATACAATTATAAAGGATTTCTGATTCTTCATTATTCGATCACTTTGTTAACCGTTATTATATAAATCTCAAAGGTGTTTGAAATCAAAACGCAATGAGAAGCGACAACTACAGTTTATTACTGAATGGCCCAGATCATAAAGCTATAAGCATATCAAACAAATTTGAAGTGGAGAGGTGAATAAGTATATGAGAGTAACTACATAGGCAAATTGATAGTCAAATTGTATAAGGGTGTAGCATGGCAAAGCAAAGACTAATAATAGGATTTGATTACATATATACATGTGAAGGAGAATGAATCATTGAATGATAGTTAAACAATCAACATTTTATCTAGTGTCTGTCATGCGATCTAGTACAAAGAAATATGTGAATTGTTATTGTTCAAATAACATTGTCTGTTAAGTAAGTTAGTAAGAGGACTTAACCGAATTGAACCATAATCGAAATTGTTTTTGTAGGACAGTTGGTACAATACAATTTTTCACACCTTCATACAGTTTTATGGAGAAATGAATGAGTTTTGGGTGGATAGGAGAAGTAGAAACGTGAATGTGGGGAATGACATGTCGAATATATGAAACTTTCTACAACAGTCTATGAAGTTGATTGACCAAGTTGGTTGTAGGATAGTTGCTATAAAATCCTTAAAGTTAGAAAAATTTTTGATGAGATTGATTTCGTGTGAATGAAACGATCGATTATTTCAAGAACAATTCAAACTCTGGGAGTGATTCACATGATCTATATCTACGGTTGGTGAATATCTCACAGCCAATAACTCATTCATACAACTAACTTTCCATCAATAAGTATAATGTAATGTGCCAAGTAGTCACGAAACGTCAGTCTTGTTATTAAGTTTCATTTTAATGCTAGTTATCAGATTTTAAACATTTGAAGTAAATGACTCTTTGATGATTTGGGCTGTCTACTCCGGTCATCTGGATATTTCAATAAATCTGTTTTCTTGATTGTTTTAACACATCATTAGACCTAGATGAAATAAAATGAATTCATGTTATTCTACTAGAATCTTTCAGTTCTTGCTCTTTTCAAAATGATAAAGGGAACTATGTGTATGAATTATCTTATATGTGATTAGTTCGTCCATAACTTTATCATCTTGCCCAAGTTATTATACAAACATTCAATTCTTAAGCATAAGATGAAGTCATCAAAAGACAGCAACAAAAAGAAACAACACAAACGATGAACTCATCATGGATAAATTTATATTTAACTCAATAAACTAATAACAAGTAACATTTATTTATTTTTGTTTATTTCTAAAATACATTTATCGTCTGTTTTTTTTTATACTTTTTTCTATCTGATTAACTCTATCATATTTTTCTTTATTTTATTAAAATGTTGCCCCCCCCCAAAAAAAGGAATTAGCCACGTAAAAATAAATAATCTCGTTTATTTTGATTGGATAGAACAGCTATATCAAGAAAAAGAAAAGAGAAAAATAAACAACGATACATGCAATATATTACTTATTATAATAAGAAATGAGTAGTTATGTAAATATTGAATTTAAGATTATACTGATATTATTGCTGTTGTTGTTGTTGTTGTGCCAAAAACTATAGACGATTAATATATGATCTAATAATGAAGAGTCTAGAAACAAGAAGAAGAAATACTGTAAATAGTGCAATCACCAAACATGTCTTTGATACAGGACATCAAGTAAATAGATACCTTGCAATCCTTTAAGGTGATTAGTAAGTAGCCAAACTCTAGTCTTCTGAAGTTTACTGACACCGTTGCTATCAGTCATCAAAAACTTGATTTATGTGTTCAAAAGGAGATGGTTATTAAATCTTTCCTTGCCTTAGTGACTAATATTCCTTCGCTGTATCTTGATATTTTTTCCTTTAAACTCTTTCTTGCATTTCTTACATCATTGAGTTTTATTTCAACTAACTTCCAAATTAATAATCTTATTTTATCAACTGAGCTCTACTCGCTATACTCCTATCAACGTTTACTCATTATGCAATCACTTGTATTCTGGCCGTTTGAACTGTTGTCACAATCAATGTGGTAGAATGTTGTTCTTTCACATAAGATATATATTTACGACATTCAGTCTTTTAATTATATTTACACCCTTGCTATACTATACGAATATGTCTTCAATATAATTTCCAACCAAACTCTTTCATGTAAGTAATTTAAACCCATTATGTAATTATGATTTCTTAGTAGTACAGGTTGTAAGCAACTGATAAGAATCAAATGGAATAAAAATGAATTCGTGCTATTCTACTAGACTCTTTTTGTTCTTCCTCTTTTCAAAATGATAAAGGGAAGTATGTGTATGAAATATCGAAGAAGTTAGAATTATACCTGTAATTGACAGTTTTATTATTAATTGTTCAAATAAGTAGCATAACCATGTTCATCAAATGAGCTTAGATGTGCTTTTCTCATTAATTGAGCAAATAGAATAATCAGCAGATGTAGCTGTAACATAGACAACTAATTCAGTTCACATCACTTGACCCGTTTAAAAAATGGTGTTTTTATTAGAATTCAACACACTTATAGACAGATAAGACATTAGAAATCTAAAATCTTCATTAAATGTTATGAATTTCAAATAAATGAATCTTAATTATTTCATACACATACTTCCCTTTATCATTTTGAAAGGAGGAAGAACAAAAAGAGTCTAGTAGAATAGCACGAATTCATTTTTATTCCATTTGATTCTCATCAGTTGCTTACAACCTGTACTATTTAGAAATCATAATTACATAATGGGTTTCAATTACTTACATGAAAGAGTTTGGTTGGAAATTATA